AATGGAAATGGGAAACGGAAATGGGCAATGGAAATGGGAAACGGAAATGGGAAACGGAAATGGGCAATGGAAACGGGAAACAGAAATGGAAATGGGAAACGGAAATGGAAATGGGAAACAGAAATGGGAAACGGAAATGGGAAACGGAAATGGGCAATGGAAATGGGAAACGGAAATGGGAAACGGAAATGGAAATGGGAAACAGAAATGGGAAACACAAATGGGAAACGGAAATGGGCAATGGAAATGGGAAATGGGCAATGGAAATGGGAAATGGAAATGGAAATGGGAAACGGAAATGGGCAATGGAAATGGGAAACGGAAATGGAAATGGGAAACGGAAATGGAAATGGGAAACAGAAATGGGAAACGGAAATGGGAAACGGAAATGGGCAATGGAAATGGGAAACAGAAATGGGAAACGGAAATGGGAAACGAACATGCAAATGGGAAACACAAATGGGAAACGGAAATGGGAAACAGAAATGGAAATGGGAAACGCAAATGGGAAACGCAAACGGAAACGAAGTGGAAGGAGAAATGGAAATGAAGCGGAACGAGAAATGGAAATGGAAAAGAAATCAATAAAGTGAAAATGAAAATAAAAAATAAAGTGAAAAAGAAATAAAGTTGTAAAATGAAAATTAAAATTGAAATTGAGATTGAAATTGAAAATGAAATTGAAATGGAAAATGAAATTGAAATTGAAAATGAAATTGAGGTTGAAAATGAAATTGAGATTGAAATTTAAAATGAAACTGAAACGGAAAATGAATAGAGAGAAAGTGAAAATAGAAAAAAAATCAGTAAAGTGAAAATGAAAATAAAAAATAGAGTGAAAATGAACTAAAGCTGAACATAAAATTAAAGATGAAAATGAAAATAAAAATAAATAAAGGAAAATGAAAAAATTAAAATGAAAATGAAATAAAGCTGAATGTGAAATGAAAATGAAAATGAAAATTACAATGACAATGACAATGACAATGAATAGAGGGAAAGTGAAAATGGAAAATGAAATAAAGCTGAACATAACATTAAAAATTAAAATGAAAATTATAACAAAAAAATCAGTGAAGTGACAATGAAAATAAAAAACTAAAATGAAATAAAGTGGAACCTAAAATGAAAAATGAAAATGAAAATAAAAAACAATCAGTGAAATGAAAATGAAAATAAAACTGAAAAGAAAAAATAAAAATGCAATAAAATAAAAATGAAGTGAAAATAAAAACTAAATACAACACAAATGGAAATGAAAATAAAATAAAATGAGAAAATAAAAATAAGAATGAAAATAAACCCGAAAAATAAATAATAAAACTGAAAACAAAATTTAAAATGAAAATAAAATTAGAAAATGAAAATGAAAATTAAAATGAAAAATAAATAAAATGAAAGTGAAATAAAACTGACAACGAAATTGAAATTGAAAATGAAAATGAAAACAAGGACCCAAGGCC